CCACCCGAACCTATGGCTGACATCTCAATGAATAGTTGCTTATAATAGACGATATTAATAAAATCAAACATGTTAAAATTATTTTCACTTTTGATCTCGCTTATAATTTTGCAATTATTTTCGCTTTCACTTTCTATAATCGGTACAATTATTTCTTCATTCATTTGCTTTAAATTAATTGTATTATAAGTTATTTTGTATTCATTGGCGTAAAAGTCGGTAAAATTATTATACTTTGTTTCACTTATTTTGTAATCCATTGAAATGACATTTATTTTGTCATTAATCAAAACGCAAATGAATTCATTTTTCCAATTATTATATGAATTAAATTGTTGTAATTCTTGGAAATCATACTTAAACTCGATTTTTTTGGGACTTATTTGAACAGTTTTATCATTGTTTTGATAATATTTGCCGCAATAATATAAACCATATTTTGTGCGAAAATGAGTTGCAAATAGTGTTGAAGTGATTGCATTTACGTGGTATACGTCTATTCGTTCGGGTGTTAACACTCTATTTTCACCGTTATTTTGTCCCAATATATACCCCCTATTGTCTCCCCAACTATAGGTATATCCACCGGATGTGACGGCAAATGAAGAGTTATTATAACAGTAAATAAATTGTAATTTACTGGCATCAGGTTGACGATATGAGCCTGATTGATAGCTAAATTCTAACTTAATTGGTGTACATATTTTAGCATATTGGTCACCGCAACCAAGTTGTCCCCACATATTGTAGCCCCAGGCGTAAACTTGGCCATCATCGGTGAGGGCCAGTGTGTGATATAAACCACAACTGAGTTGTACAATCTCTCTACCGACAACAGTTTTCAAGTATGGTATTTTCTCTGGTGTCTGATTATGACCATGGGTTTCAGTATTTCGGGCCAATTGTCCATGTTCGTTATTACCAAAACCGTATATATCATTCACGTCATTCACTGCTAACACAAAATCATATCCATTGTCAAAGTATTGTATGTTTTGATGACATAATTGTGGAATCAGTTCTGGTGATAGTATAGGATTGTTGTGTCCAAATCCAAGACATCCGGCATTATTATTGCCTAAACCATAGACCAGATCATCGGTTGTGACGAATAAAACATTATAATTGTTATCCAAATCATAAAAAACATGTAATTTTGTAATATTTTGTCTAGTATTTGTGAAAATTTTATCACAAAATGTAAACTTTTCTAATAATTCACACATTTTAACAAATATTGCAACAAATTATTTGTACAACTATTATAAAACACGAGTTTACTAAACAAATTTAATGTATTATTTTAATTGAAAAAATACTAAAATACTATTATTTTTGTAAATGCTTTTGTTTAACAAACAAACATGGCTAAAACCAATATAATGTAGCATATTTACACCCCAAAAGTTAGTGCCCATGAGTGCCAGTCCCATAAATAGTATAGTGATATACTGTACATCCAATGTATGTGTGTATTATTGGCTACAAGTAAAGCACAAAATTTAAATATTGTTTAAAGAACTAAATTAGCTTGGTAGAATAAATGAATAATCACTTTTTAATCAACAATAATATACATGATAAATAACACCCTCACTCAAAATAACCTAGACATTTTATTGTTCAAAATATAACACCAATTCAAATATATAGCCAAAATGTTAGTTAAAATAAGTTTGAATAAAGTTTTTGCTATACAAGTGGTGCACAACATAAGCGCTGAGAGGCAGTACTGGTCCACAAACTTCACCACAACTAACACTTCTATTGAGAATCTCCACCAGAATTGCTATGAAATTCTCTATTATATTATTATAATATAAATGCTTATGATATTAGTTGTGGAAACAAGGGTTTGGGTTAATGTTTTAACTTTAGGCCATACAGACAGTTATGTGAAGCTAAGGTCATAGTCTATGAGCGCCAGTACTGCCTGTGCCAGCAGTTTATTATGTAATTTACAATTTGATGGCCAATTGCCGGCAGACATTGAACACCACATCTGTCTGCATGTTTGCCGCAGACTTATCACATGTCTTAATGATAGTGAGGGAGAGAAAGGAGAGAGAGAGAGAGAGAGAGAGGCTATGCATGTGAGAGCGAATTCAAGGCTAAGAATATAAATTATCAAATAGTAAATGGTTTACGATTTCTTGAAAATGGATTTTTAAACAAAAAACTTTCATAACTTTAGCCAACAGTTAGACAAAAGCGAGGGAAAGGAAAGTAATATTAAATATCGTTTGTATTTGTCTCAAAAATATAGTAAAATTAGACGCTTATATAGCATTTTTACTAATCATTTACAATATTTATGGATTATCATGTGGATTTCTTTTAAATAAAATACATGATAAGTTACATTACATAACCCTTGTATCCGATAGAGTGACATAGAGTTGCGATACTTATCAATAATTAATATACAGGGCACATGTGATGGCATGTATTTTAAACAGTAGGTAAATTCCCCTTGCTCCTAATTCGTGGGGTAATTAATTATCGATTTAGATATAACACATAAAATACTGTATTAAATGTAATTCTCGATTAAATTCACGGCTTTTTAATTGATTGATAAATACTGGCATTCAATACATACTAAATATCTAATGTTATCATTAATTATTAATTTTGATTCAATCAATACAACTCGTATTTATAAATAATTTAAGTGTATTTATGGGTATTTAAAACATAATATTCGCTTAAAAATAGGGTTAAATATTTTCCAGAGAGAGAGAGAGAGAGAGAGAGAGAGAGAGAGAGAGAGATAATCTCAAACTATATCATTTTTCTACTCAATTATNTTTTGGGACTTATTTGAACAGTTTTATCATTGTTTTGATAATATTTGCCGCAATAATATAAACCATATTTTGTGCGAAAATGAGTTGCAAATAGTGTTGAAGTGATTGCATTTACGTGGTATACGTCTATTCGTTCGGGTGTTAACACTCTATTTTCACCGTTATTTTGTCCCAATATATACCCCCTATTGTCTCCCCAACTATAGGTATATCCACCGGATGTGACGGCAAATGAAGAGTTATTATAACAGTAAATAAATTGTAATTTACTGGCATCAGGTTGACGATATGAGCCTGATTGATAGCTAAATTCTAACTTAATTGGTGTACATATTTTAGCATATTGGTCACCGCAACCAAGTTGTCCCCACATATTGTAGCCCCAGGCGTAAACTTGGCCATCATCGGTGAGGGCCAGTGTGTGATATAAACCACAACTGAGTTGTACAATCTCTCTACCGACAACAGTTTTCAAGTATGGTATTTTCTCTGGTGTCTGATTATGACCATGGGTTTCAGTATTTCGGGCCAATTGTCCATGTTCGTTATTACCAAAACCGTATATATGCCGTTAAAAGAGTACAATTTGGGGGTAAATATCTATTTTGATAAAAGTAAAATAAATTATTAATTATTTTTTAATAAATACACAGATTTTAATAAAGAAAAGAAACTAAAAGTTCTCAAAGAAGTGAAAAGTTTGGCAAAAATGGATTCAGAATTTGTGGTCAAATATCACAACTCATGGCTAGAGTCCAATCATCTCTACATTCAGATGGAATTCTGTCCGCAAAGTCTTAAATCTCTTCTCATAGACAAAGCCATTGTCTTCGAGAGACAAACCGAAGACTTGATGAATATATTTGAGTATTTCATTGCAAGTGAGATATTCAAAGAGATCTTAGAATGTGTTGAATATCTTCACTCATCGGATCCACCGGTCATTCATCGAGATCTCAAACCGGAAAACATATTAATTGATCCCACATTTAGATACAAGCGATTCGTAAAATTGTGTGACTTTGGTTTAGCCACTGATCACAACACCAATAAACACACTGCGAGCCGATACGAGCATTCAGTTTGTGGTGCGTTGGGATATATGGCACCCGAAGTACTTTTAGGCAAACAATATGACCACAAATCAGACATTTATAGCCTCTATGTTATCGGTGAAGAGTTGTTTGGTATCGATCTTCAAGCGTAAGGATTTTATCAACACTTTTATTAATTTTTATTATAATTAGTGTTTTATTTTCTGTGTATTTATAGTTCGCAAACATTTGAAACAAATGAATCGGTGGTCACGACAGCCATACTATGTATGTGTCGTACGCTTCAGAAAATGATGGCAATTGTGTGGAGACAAAGGCCTGAGTGTCGGGAAGTGTTGGCCAAACATAACGAGTGGTCTATCGATAAGACTGTTGTCGCGAATCACAAGGAATTCAATTCAGTGTTAAATACACTTAAATCTAATGAGAATTCAGTTTTCTATGAGATTTTGTTTCGCAAAACACAATAATCTTTTATTTTTATTACAAGTTTACTAATTTGCAAATTAATTGAATACAATCTCTCTCTCTATAACGAGTGGTCTATCGATAAGACTGTTGTCGCGAATCACAAGGAATTCAATTCAGTGTTAAATACACTTAAATCTAATGTGAATTCAATTTTCTATGAGATATTATTTCGCAAAACACAATAAAATATTACTTTTAATAACAATTCTCTCTCTCTCTCTCTCTCTCTCTCTCTCTCTCGAAAACAGATTTATTAACACCAATTATTGTAATCATTATTTACTAACCATAATATTTATATTGATCCACAATTATATGGTAAATTAACATCTATTACAATTAATAAAAATTAATTATTTTAATATTGTTTCATATGAATTATATAAGGATTTAAATAAATTCAACAATAATTACAATGTTTTATAAAGTAATTGTTACCATACAGTGCTTGTAAATGAATGAGTTATAATTTTCATTCAATAAATTTTACCACTTTGAAATAAAATACTAAATCTAAAACAATTATTAAATTATATGTCAATTGAATACAACAAATAGTAGACATGAAGTGATGGCTGGGAATGAGTATCGCATGGATTGCATCACTGATACGGATGTCGAGCGTGAGGTCCGGTCGGCGCCCCCGCCGTCACCCGTGCTCTTGGGTTTGGATCTAATATTCATAACTTTATTCAAACTTATTTTACATTAATGGCTATACATTTGAAATGATGTGAGTGATACAGGTTTTATAATAAAAATTACATTGATTAATAATCATGTACTGTATTATATATCACATTTAACCCACAAATGGGACTCATTGATAAAGGTGACAAATTTTTGACACTCGTAAGTATTTATTAATTATAATATTTAAAATATTAATTGTGTATTTTATTGTCTGTAAAAAGTGCTTATTTATTTATTTAATCAAGATCATTTAGCTATGTAAATAATATTTAACTTTTGCGCTTTACTTATGACCAATAATATCGTCAGACATATTGCACTATACTATTAAGCAAAGGGATTGGGTATAACTTTATGGGTGTAATATAAAGTCCAACATTAACTTGTTTTAAGCATGTGTTTGCTGTTAACAATTTATTAAACAAATGCATTTAACAAAATGTGTACTTTTTATAATTATTTATACAATTAAATCAATATATCATAAGCAGTGCTTTAATATGCATTAATAATTAATAATTTGATATTTATGTAAAAATGTGTGAATTATTAGAAAAGTTTACATTTTGTGATAAAATTTCGGCAAATATTAAACAAAATATTACAAAATTACATGTTTTTTATGATAACTCTACGAAATATAATGTATTATTTGTGACAAATGATGATAACGTTTATGGTTTTGGCAATAATAGCAATGGATGTCTGGGTTTGGGACACAACAGTCTTATACTATCACCCGAACTGATCCCTGAATTAAGTCATCAAAACATACAATACTTTGTCAATGGATTGGATTTTGTGTTAGCAGTGAATGATAGGAATGTGATATATGGATTTGGGAATAACCAACATGGTCAATTGGCCCGCAATGTCACTAATCAATGTAATCAGAAACCAACCACGTCAGTGGTTCACATCATACGCTGGCCCTCACGAGTGATGGCCGGGTGTATGCCTGGGGTCGCAATGATTGCGGACAAATTGGTTGCGGGAGTGATAGTCAATGGAATTGTATACCAATTGAATTACAATTTAATAATAATAAAATACAATCAATTTATTGTTGTTATTCCTCTTCGTTTGCCATCACATCCGACGGACATGTCTTCAGTTGGGGTCAGAATAGTTGGGATCAATTGGGACACAATGTAACTAAAGTATTGAAACCTCTACTCATATCAAACAACTTATGTAATAGTGTGATGGCAATCACATCAATGAAATTGACCACATTTTTTCTCACGACAAATGGTATACTCTTTAATGATAGAATGCGTTTTGATTATGTAAGTTTTCCGAAACAACTACAATCTCCATATCAGATACAAGAATTACAACTTATTAATTCATCCACTAATTATAATCGCATTGCATTCATATATGTTTTACTCAATGATAAAGTATATAAAGTATTCAAATACAACAATAACTACCGAATGGTTGAAACAGATTATAATAATTTTGTTGACGTTTACGCCAATGAATACCAAATCACTTACAATACAATTAATTTGAAACCAATGAATGAAACAAGGATCACACAGGAATAACATAGGTAGAGCTAAGTCTATGAAAGTAATGTTATTTCAATGGGATAATGCTTTTTCTATGGAGATAAACTAACTGAATCTGTCATAATAAATAGAACTAATTGTTGTCAAAACCATTTAACATTTTCAAAATAATAATAGTGAAAATATTCTAACAATAGTATTGAAAAATTTAAAATCTTTGATACATTTCCCGAATTGTGGTTAACGTATAGCATCGCTGTGTGATCCTTGTTTCAATATTATTTTAATTGAATCTAATATTTAAATTACAGCTAATAAAACATATTATAATACAATAAAAGTGGTA